ACACACACACACACACACACACACACACACACACACACACACACATTGGTGCATCCCTGAGCTTCTTGAAATAGGTTCTTTTCAGAAGTTCACTAAAATCCATCTAGTGGTTCATGAGATATTTTACTAACAGAGTTGACTCTAGGATATTTGTATGTGCTGCAAAGCACTTTAACATACTTTATCATGAATTGATGTTCCAAGTAGTTGGTTTTGGTGTTGGTTTTATGTGTTTGTGGACGTTATCCTCCACAGCTGGGAGGTGAACCGTGGAGTCTTTTGACTTGCGTTGGAGTTTAGGGGRTAGCTGGGTGGGTAAATGAGGATGGATGCTGTACTCACTGAAGCTGGCACCTCCTCCCCTCCACTTCCTCCTGGCTCCTCCATCTGCTGCGATGTTCGAACCTCCTTATCAAGCTGCTACCAGATTAGTCCCCAGGTTTTTACTCCATGTGGATATCTCAACCGGCCTCRTGTGGTTTCGTCAACATATGGTTCAGCATTTTGCCCTGAACGACTGAATTGTGAGATAAAATCCTAACATTTTTTTTTCAGTTGGTAAATAGTTTTATGTGAATAACTTGCTGTTGGACTGGTCTTGTAGCTATCAAAACAGTTACAGCAACAAAATGAATGTTGCCAKCATTTTCAGTGACTTTGTTACTGTTTGCAGTGAGTGTGATAACTTCTATTCAGACTGCTGAACCCAGATAAGTGATAGTGCTACTTTCTTATGAGAAAACTCTACATTGTTGTCTGTAAAATAGCTATAAGCAAGCAGAGACTGAAATTAGTTCAGCAAACAAGTTGAGCTCAGTTGAATGTCTCGTTGTGTCATCATCTTTACCTCATTTGTTCCCTTACTCTCTTTTATTTGTAATTACCCGAGTTAAATCTCAATATTAGAGAGGTTTTAAGCTATTTGGCTCAGCAGGTAACAGATCAAATTTTCAAAAAAAAAAAAACATATATGACTTAATCCTGAACATTTGCTGTTTTTATTTCTCATAATTTTATTTCTTCACAGGCTGCCAAGCTTCCTATGTCCATCATCATCGTTGGAGTGGGTCAGGCTGAGTTTGATGGTACAATTACTTTATCTTCTAACTATAATATGCATATTTCGTGTAACTAACTGTGCTAGTTTATGAATTTTTTTATGGCATTTAAAATACTGCTTAGTTGGAGTTTYATCGAGCTGCTGTTCTTTGCAAACGCAGCATTCTTCCTATTCGATGCAAATGAATGAAACAGCGATGTTTCAAAATGGAAGAGAGAAAAACTACAGAACAAAACCATAAATTTGCGTAATGATTGCAGCTTTGTGAGGACTAGATGAATACAGTACGTGGACACCTCAGAGATCGTCTGTGTGGCATGCTTCCACAGAAACTAAAGCCAGTTTTAATCAGTTTTTATTACATTATAATCTCATACCATCCTTAGGTTTGTKTTCCATTCTGTTTAAAGGTTGGGGCTTTAAAATATCTAGCATAAAGCAAAAATACAAAACCCATTCAATTCCACCAGGTAAAGAAATAAACTGCCACACATTTAATGAATGTTTAGTCAAGACTAAAACAGTTTATTTCTGTCTACTGTAAGTCTGTGTTGATTTTTTTTATCTTAAAAAGCCTGTCATGCTTAAAAAAGATCAAAGCAAAAAAATTGTTTTGAGTATTACAGCTGAAGCTAACATTGTTGACAGTCATTCAAAAGAAAAATTACAGTTCAAACCCATCAAAGTCAGGAGGGAAGACGATGCGAGGGAGGATGCAGGCATAATTGTAGAAGAAATGGCTGAGGTTAATCGCTGGGTTTATAGTGTTCTGTACTGATGATTCTAAATTACAGTCTGTACTAAAAGACTTATTAGTTGATTAGGTGGGTAATGAAGACTGTACGGATAAACATTCTTTCATTTTACTAAGCTGAACAAAATAAAGCGGACTGTCCTGACACCTAAACCACTGCATGAGCTGTGTATCAGCCGTGCCTGGGTTGTTAGAACAGCTGGTTTTGAAGAGTTTTAACACCTTGTGTGTGTGCGTATGTACGTGTGTGTGTGTGTGTGTGTGTGTGTGTGTGTGTGTGTGTG